TTTCCATGGGTTTGTGCCGGTCAAAACGGCATTGTTGCCTCGTTTATCGGTTTCGCTGTTGTTTGTTGTTGTTTTCTCTTCGATCGCATCCACTGTCTCTGTCCACCATTTCCAAGCCGAATTATTATAATTACGTTTCTGAGCAATTTTATCATCCGCTGATCATCTCTTTTTTGTATTCGTTGTTATGGGAAGTATTTCAAATAAAGTATCTTTCCTTTCTTTCATGCGCTTGGAATCTTTGATTCGAGAAGATTAGGAAGTTTGAACGTGAATAGGGATACCAAATAAGCAAGATGATGCTGTAAGCTAAGATACTCCTTTTTGATTGAGAAGTAAGGATTCGGGTAGCTGTGACCATTGAGAGAAGTGGTCCCCTCATCTTTTTTGCCTTATTTGCCATTTGTTTTCATTGATATAGTTATCATCGTTCTTTTGAGTATACATCAACCATTTCTTATATATAATATACATTAGTCATCTTCATAGAAATGGAAATGCTGAGCACAAAAATTTGGAACAAAAGGTAAAAATTATGAGAAATGGTGAGGTATGATTTTGGCGGAGTTGAAAGACTCCGGATTGACAACAATATAGTCAAATGGGAGTATGTAAATCTCCTAGATCTGTATGCCATAAAGAAATGACGGGAAAACGCTGAGAAGTTGTCAGTTTGTGTCAGTCCATGAATTTTGGACTACGATAGTGCGCGATGGGCGAATTGCGTACCACGCGGGAGATTCGAAATGATGCGGGAAAAATTTGAGATTAGAACTTTTAGTGCAAGAACGATGCTTCGTCTTTCCTATCGTTGCTTTCCGTCGTTTTATTGTTTTTCATATTCATTCTAAATTCGTCATAAATGTGCGACTTTGAGTTATGGAAGCGAATTTGTCTCCATTTTAAGCTGTATAGCTCCATTTTTGGCTTCTAACTGATTTCGCTAGTAGGATAGAATGGAGACATTTTCATTCGAGAGAGCAACTTAGACTAATTTTCATTTGCCAACACCTGCTACAATGTGAATTTTTTTTAGTAACTTCACTTCGAAATGTCGAGCACTGGTCGCCGAACCCCATCTAGACGTACTGCGTCACAACAAAGCAGTGCGCGTTCTGTTAGATGTGGGTCAATTCCCTGTACTGCTTCAGATCTGAAAAATATGTTGATTTATAATTTCTATTATAGCGGAAGCGCCTCCCAGCGCTCGAAGCAGTTCGCCTGATCTGCGTTCGCTTCCACCGAGCGAAGCTCCCGTTGCAAGTGAAGCCACATCTCCTCGAGGAGATGGAGACCTAGCGTCTGTTCGCAGTGGTTAGTATCTTTTCTCAAAAATTTCATATCGCATGGCAGTTTTGAGTTTTTTTACTTTTCCATTTGTACGCTCAGAGTTGATCTTTACGTGTATCTTTAACTGACGTTTTATATATTTGGGAATTTTCCATCTTCTATGATTAATTTTGTCATTCGAAAATCACAATTATAGAAAACTCAATATATAAACGTCTCTGCTAAAGCAGCGAAGTGGCTCATTCCAGTACGAAATTTTCAAATTTCCCCATTTCGCGCCATGCATTAATGTGCTCCAGTCGCTAGATGACGTGCCCTTCTGCTGAGCAAAAAACACTACGTGCATTTTTTCTATTACTGCGGAACTTCTCATGGCGGCCACGTTGTAATATACACTTAAATTGTGGACTTATACTTATAACGTCATGTTTTTTGTTCATTCGTAGTTTGTATTATCTTATTTCTGAGATTGAGAAAGAGTTTTCTATTTCCATCAGACTGGTATCTTGGATTATTCCTTTTGAGGTACTTCTTCTCTTCGTTATGGTTCTGAGCTCGGTTTATCATCGCAAGGATCCACAGCATTATCGTCACGTCGTGGCCACGCTCGCGCGGATTTGGGAACTGCGCCGAGCCATCATAGGTGAACTTAGACCTCAATTTTGTAACTATACTTTTTTATATTCAAATCGAATGTCTCCCAGTATAACGTGCTATTAAATGATTTCCAGAACTGTGCGCATCCAAGGTCTTGAAGATGATCTGGCTGACGACAATAGTCAACCACGCATGTACATTTGGGGAACGAGAATTTGTGTAGTCGATGTGCAAAGGTACTTTTGATTGTTTTGCTACTGTTTGATCTCTATACTCTAACTATTTTTAGAGCTTTCCGCGCTTTCATCACGGAATTTAAAGTTTCATCTTTGGATGAGGACGAGAATATGCTGATGTTGCCTTCTACGGTAAGAGAATAGCTCAACAACTCATTTTTTCTAAATGAATGTGGTGTTTTCAGCGTCAAGCAGTTGATACATCCATTCCTTATTATATGGAACGCTTGTTCGAGATCGACCAGACAGATTGTCCGTTCATGAATCTGAACCTCGCACACGTGAAGGCGTATTCTGAGCCGCTCTACAGGAAGATCATCGCATATCCAGCTGTTAGTGAATATCTGTTTTCCGAGTCTTTCTTCGTGATGAAAAGCAGCCTAAAAATTATTTTCATGGCTTTAGGATGTGATTCCGTACCTGGACATGACAGTCAACGAAATCTATCAAGAGAAATACAACCGCTCTTTGGCCACGCCTATTGAGCTACGTCCTTTCAATGCAGAGAAGACTAGAAACATGCGTAGTTTGAACCCATGTGGTAAGTTTTCCAGTTCCTTAACCATTCTTGCGTATTCATTTTCTGTCTTAGACATTGATCAACTCATCACCATCACTGGCATGGTCACACGCACGTCATCGCTGATCCCGGAAATGCGCATGGGATTCTTCCAATGCTCAATTTGCAAGTTTTGCGTGGAAAGTGAAGTGGATCGTGGAAGGTACGTTTTTTGTGAGTTACTGACTTTTTAGGCGTAAAAATGAAAATGATTCAGGATTGAAGAGCCTACTGTTTGTACTAACTGCTCAAACACCATGTGTTTCCAACTCATTCACAACCGTTCAATATTTTTGGACAAGCAAATCATTAAGATGCAAGAATCGCCAGGTCAGTTGATTATAATTTTTACCAAAAATTACTGTGCATACTGCTTTTCACATCTGCGTATCCTCGTTATCTTTGATCACTTACAGATGACATGCCTTCTGGCCAAACCCCTCACACCGTCACCGTATTTGCCCATGGTCATTTGGTGGAGTCTGTGCAACCTGGAGATCGTGTCACACTAACCGGTATATTCCGTGTACAGGCAACTAAGGTGAGAATAGTTTTATGTCAAGCGGACACATCTTCACGGTTATATTTTTAGGTTAACCCTCGTCAAAGAAATCTGCATGCTGTTTACCGCACAAACGTAGATGCTCTACACTTCAGGAAGACTGATGCATCACGTCTTCATCAAGATAATGGGTACGATAGCATATATTCTAGGTAGCATAGATCAAAAGGAATGATGATTTGATGTTTTCGTCTCTTCTTTTTTCTGTTTTGCCCTATGTTAGGAGATCAAAATGAGTAGGAAATAATTACCAAAATTTACAGTGAGACGCTAACGGATGAACGTATCGAGCAGATTCGCAATCTCTCGAAACGCGACGACATTACGGAGGCTCTTAGCCATGCTATCGGTAAGAATGATTATTGTTCCTTTCTTAGCTATATAAATTATTTTCAGCTCCTTCCATTTATGAGCACTCTGATGTCAAGAAAGGCATTCTCTGCTTGTTGTTTGGAGGCACCACAAAAGACGATGAAAACACCCATAGAACTAAGCTGAGGAGCGAGGTACACCACTTTGAACGACACAAATTTTTTTAGGAAAAGCTATGTATCTGTGAACCGAAAATTTGAATGTTTCAGATCAACATCCTCTTATGTGGAGATCCTGGTACGTCCAAGTCCCAGCTCTTGCAGTACGTATATCATCTGCTGCCTAGAAGCCAGTATACTAGTGGAAAGGTACCATTCCCTACAAAATTTGTGTTGCTTCAAGGTATCAATTCTCTATTCTACAGGGTTCCTCAGCTGTGGGACTGACAGCCTCGATATCTCGCGA